CTTTATGTCAAATGACTCAAACATATCTGCCTTCAAACTAAGAATCGACTGAACACCTTGCCTTGCTATTAACATGTCATCTACATATAGCAAATAATGAAATTGCCACCATGAAATTCTCTAACATAAACACAGTGATCTGCATTTGTCCTAGTATATCCATGACCTACCATAAAGGACTCAAACTTCTTATAACATTGTCTTAGAGCCTGTTTTAACCCATACAAACTCTTTTTCAACCTGCAAACTATTCGTTATTTTCCTCTTACTAAACCATGTAGATTTCTTCCTTCAAATCATCATGGAGAAAGGCAGTCTTCACATATAACATTTCAAGCTCAAGATCCAAACTTGCTACTAAATCTAAAACCACTAGAACGGAAGTCAATTTGACGACAAGAGAAAATATCTCATCGAAGTGAATCCCTTTCTTTTAACCGAAGCCCTTCACCACCAATCGAGCTTTATACTTTACTAGCTTTTCACCATCTTTCTACAGCTTGAATGCCCATTTATTGTTCAATGTATTTTTACCTTTAGAAAGCTTTACTAGCTCATAAGTGTTATTTTTCTACAAAGAATTCATTTCTTACTAAATAACCTTTATCCCACTCTTTTTGTCCTTATGAGATTGTACCTCCTGAAAGTATTCTGGCTCCCCTTCATCAGTTACCAACACATAAACCTGGTTGATAGATGATGCTCATTGGTAGATCTTCTAATCTGAGGTTCCAGTGTAGTATGTTGCTCCTCCTACTTAACATCATCTAGATTATCCTCATCAACCCTTATTGGTTCATCAGCATGACAGTCAACATGTGTCTCTACTCCCTAAGTAGCATTGTCTAGAGGCAAAGAGACAGGTGTAAGGTTAGTGACACTCTCATCAACACGACTTTGATTCTCGAATTTCTCGAAATAAGCTAACTTTTGATTCTAATGAAAAATCACATCTCTGCTTCTGATTATTTTCTTCTTCTCCAAATACTATAGTCATATCCAAATTCTACATCTCCATAGCCAATAAAAATGAAAGCATTAGCTTTATCATCTAGTTTCAACTATTATTCTTTAGGCACATGGGCAAATGCTTTATACCCAAAAACCTTCAAGTGAGAATAAAAAACATCCTTTCCTGTCCACACATTTTTTGAAATCTCAAAATCCAAAGAAACTGATGAAGACCGATTGATTGGGTAGCATGCCGTATGAATAGCTTTACCCCAAAATGACTTAGGTAATACAACCATCCTTAACATGCTTCTGACATTTTCCACAATGGTGTGGTTCATTCTATCAGCCACACCGTTGTGTTGTGGGGTACTGGGAACTGTCTTCTAATGTCTAATACCATGCTCTGAGTAGTAATCTTTAAACTCTTTAAACGTATATTCCCCTCCGTTTTCAGTTCGGAGACACTATGGCATGTCATGAAACTTCTTGAAGTGCTAAAAAACCTAATTTGATCTCAAGTAAAACACTCCCAACTTTTGTGAAGCATCATCAATAAAAGTAAGAAAATACTTATTGCCACCTAAGGACTCCACCTCAATGGGACCACAAACATCAGAATAAACCAAATTTAAAATATTAAACTTTCTACTAGAGGGCTTTTGAAATGAAACTCTATGCTATTTACCAAGTAAACAATAATCACATGAATTTAATGATGTACCTTTGGTAAAAAGAATGAAGGGCTTCCTTGTCAAAATTTGCAATCCTTTCTAACTCATGGGAGTCAGCCGCTTGTGCCACAAATCTGGTGAAGGATCACTTTCAATTGCATTCATTGCTTCACTACAAACCTTTACTTGTGTCTTGTAAAGTGTGCAACATAGCTTTCCTCTAGCAATTACCATCGACCCTTTTGTTAGTTTCCATCTTCTATTGCCAAAATAAATGTCATACCTGATGTGATCCATGATACCAGGGTTAGTCTGGGCAATCATCCATTGATAGTTGAGGAAGGTCCTATGACTAGGTCACGAGCGAATATGGTCAAAGAAGCAATAAGACTACTTTCTCAAGCCACGGTGGACAAAACATTGATCACGGTAAGTAAAGGGACAAGTTTCATATTGGGCATGGGAGATAAAACGAAGTGGAGCAACTTGATTCAAGTAATGGTCAAAGAAGCTGGACCAAACAAATGTGTTGTCTCCGCATAGTTGTTCGCATGCCCCTTTACCGAATCCACATAGGGAAAACTCAAATGATCTATGTGACCGCACAGATTTACACTATGCAGCCGCATAGTGTATTTCCGGTAGCGAATTTTTCAAATTTTGCGCAATCTTCTATTTTAGTTAAAACTCTATTTTGTGATATATTTTGTTATTTTTAGAGCTTAATTTCATTTTTACTAGGGTTTCAGGGATTCCATATAAATAGGGTTATTATTATTTTTGTAAGACATGTAATTATTGAGAGATTTGTTGTAAGACATTATTGCTTTCTTCTTGTTCTTCATCCAATTAATTATGAACTTATCAAGATTTTTTCTTATGGTGCTCAAACAAATCGAGTGAGATTCTTGAATCTTGCAATCACAGGATTAACATATTATCGGTAACTATGTTGATTCTTTGGTTCAATATTTTTGAATTAAGCATAAACTTTAATTCTTGGCTTTTTTGGGATTGAATCAATCTTGTGTGGGTTTCGTAGTTTCAATTGTTACGTGGGTTCACATCAATTGGTATCAGAGCAAGGCTCCAAAAATTAAGGTTAAATCTTTTTTTTTTTTTTTTGAGTTTTTGTTTTTCATTATGTGTTATTCGCGTTTTTCAATTTTTTTTCATCTCCAATCCTTAAAATTCCAAAACTTGTTTGTGTGCTAATTTAGCATCTAAATTAGTTTTTGTTTCTTTTGTTGCTATCTAGTTGAATTTTCGAGCAAAAAAATTGAAATTCGAAAAATTGCCAGCCGCATACAATTTCATTTTTTGAGTCAAAAAAATTTCAAATTCAAAAGTGTCCAAATTCAAGAAACACCTTCTTAAATTTTTCCTTAGTGTTACATTCAAAGTGCCAATTCCTACTTCTCTAGTTATTCTAGAATCAATTTTTCTTACTCAAATCTTTGTTTGAAACTCTAAAAGGATTGAATTTTGATTGAGATCGAATTAGTTCTTTGAAGCGCTTGCAAGAAAGCATTGAGCGGGAAAAGGCAAGAGTGATGAGACTAATAGAGGGGAAAAACCAATTTCAGTGATACATGAGTGTATACACGTGAGACAAATATTAAATTAGATTTAGGATGTCGGATAGAGATAAGTCTACTTCAAGCAGGAATAATAATCAAGTCAACATGCCGGATGAGGTGATACGATGGTTCGAAAGGTTGTTTTAGGATGTGAGAGACATATTGGATATGCAAGATAGATTGCTTTCTAATTTACGTTGGGAACAACCTAGAAAAATTCCTAATGTAAGGAGGCAAGTAAGGAGAGATCATAGAGCGGATTTTGCTGGTGAATGTGAAGCGGATAGTAACATTAATAAGGATGCATTGGTGGATGTCGAATTAGTAAGAATGAAAAATAGATGAGTTAGGCATGAAACGAGAGGTAGAAATTTTGTTGGAGATAGTGTTGATAGAAGTATGAGTAATATCAAAATGACAATTCCCTTATTCAAAGAAATGAGTGATCAAGAGGCATACTTGGAGTGGAAAAAGAAAGTAGAGTTGATATTTGATTGCTACAACTACTCGAAGGAGATAAAGATTGCGGTACTTGAATTTATCGATTATGCTATCATTTGGAACTTAATACAAATCAATTTCAGATTATTACAGAGGTTCAAGGAACAATATGGAAGCTTTTGGAAGTTGTGATGTCCAAAATTGAAGATTTGGACGGAAAAGGACAATAATCGGACAAAAACTTAATTTTGGACCAAATTGCAACATTTGGAAAGTTTGGAATTGACCACGGTCTGTGGTTTGAAAACCGCTATGGACCTGCGGTCCGGTTTGGTTCTGCCTAGTCCAGCTCAGTTCCGCCCAAAATGATGTATTTTGTTTGAGTTTCGAAGTACAACTACCAAATTTCATCAACAAAAATGACACGGAAGCAACTAAACTTCGGATTCATTTACAGGAATCATGCCATATGGCAGAAGAAATGGCTTTAGTTTTGATATAGGATTACATCAATAATTAACCGCGTACGCGGGTGATTGTAACCGGTAGGGGAGGACAACTTGATATTATGGGATCGAAGTAAGGGTTACTTGATATGCACCCCTGTAAAGTACCACGTCAGAGGCCGTCGACCACCATGGGGTGCTCTAC